ACAATGAATGGACAGGAAGTGCTGATGAATGAATGGATGATGAGGGCATCCATCCCATAACCACATATGAAGCCCCAGTTGTATACACAGCTGTGCTTGGCCCTGAAGCACCACGCATGACATAGGGCCCTTGACTCTACAGGTGCTCCGGCCTGGATGGTGGCACAAAGCAGGGACCCTCTGCCCCCAGGGTGGCGGGTCAGTTTCCTGGTGAGACTGCATCCTGCACCTGGCTTCCCCTTCCTCCACGAAGACTCTTCAGAGTTCCTGTCCCCTAGACCACGAGGGTCTCTGGCATCCCCTGCACAGGGCCCAGCACTTGCTGGATGTCATGAAGTAGGTGCTGTGTGATATAGGCCACCAGGACAGCAGGACAGCAGGACAGCAGGACAGCAGGCAGTCCTCGTGTGCAGGGAGGCTGAGAGCTGTTGCCACAGCCAACCCGGGGAGCAGGCCCCACTGCACCACTGCCATCCGTGCCCCTGCTCTTATGATGGCCCTCAGGGAATGGAGGCAAGGACCCGTCCCCACCTTATGCTAGGGGATAAAGAGATTCGCAAAAGGCCACACAGCTGGTGAGTGCCAGGGCTGGTGTTAGAGTCCAGGTCCGTTGCAAAGCCAATGCCACCCCTGCTGTGCTGCCTGGCAACTATGTTCTCCCACCTGCGGGAGCCCACTCAGGCTACACCTGGGTGGTTTTTTTTTTTTTTGGTACCAGGGATTGAACTCGGGTCCTTGCATTTGCAAGGCAAGCAATGGAACCACTGAGCTAAATCCCCAGCCCTACACCTGGGTTTTCACCTCTTCTTAGGAACATGGTCAGAGGGGCGTGACTTAGTCCCAAATGAACCCAAACCCTTTTGTGACAGGCTGGAAACTGGGCAGAAGGTAGCAAACAAAGGACAAGGTTCAGGTGCTTGTCCAGTGTGCCTCACCTCATGGTCTGGCTGCCTCCTGGAGAATCTCCTCCATCTTTCCCAGCTTCCCAACCCTATCTATCCTTCTACCCATTCCATCCATCCATCCATCCATCCCTTCGCCTGTCCAGCCATCCATCTGCCCCTCCATCCATTCACCCCCATCCATCTAACCATCTATTTATCTGTCATCCACCCACCCATCCATCCATCCATCCATCATCCATTTACCACACAGCCATCCCTCCTCTCAGTCAGCCAAGTTTTTGATGCCTGTCACACCCTGGTCAGGCACTGGGGACACACAGAGAGATAAGACACAGTCCCAGCCATGGAGTAACCGAAGCGCAGCAGGTGCAGACACCATGAAAGAAGGTGTGGCATGTCTGGCTTGGTGTCCACGGTGCAGTGGGGAAGATATCCCGGAGGGGCAGGAATCATTCTTGCTGCCTCCCCAAACTACTGGTGCAGTTGGTCCCAGCCAGTTCCACTTTGGCCTGTCACGTGATCTCTGAGAAGTCCTTTCCCCCAGGGAACAGAAGGGGGACCCTCCTGGAACCTCCCTAGCCCACAGGGTGGGGACATTGCTTGGCCCTCATGTGCACTTTCTTTTCTGGCTCAGTATGAAATGACAGGGCCTGGTCCCCACCATGTGGGCCTCAGTCACTGAACAGGGTGTGTGGTCACCCTATTTCCCTTGCTTTGGCTCTGTGGGCCCCAGGTGCCTTCAGGGGTCCAGCCTTCCAGACCCCCAGCTTCACCAGAGTGAAGGTTGCAGTGGAGCAGCACCTACACTGGTCCCAACCCAAATCCTCCACCAGCCCTGGTAAGTTCAAAGCACTTGTGCAAAGCTGGTCATGGGGCACACGCCTGTAATCCCAGCATTTGGAGGCTGAGGCAGCAGGTTCTTCACGAATTTTCGGCCAGGCTGGCCTATATAGTGAGTTCAAGGCCAACCTGGACTACATAGCAAGACCTTGTCTCAAAAACACAATACAACACAACACAAAGCACTTGCACATTCATGGCCAGGGTGCCATGGCTGACCCTGGAGGCAGGGCAGGCACTGGGGATCCTATTTTGCAGGTGGGGCCTTGAGATCAGAGGAGCTGAGGTGCCGTCCCTGCTGGCAGCAGCCACTGGAGAGGTCTGAGCCGGGGCTCTGAGGTCACAGGGTGGGTCCTTGCTCTGCTACTTAATCACAGGGACTCAATTCACCTGTAGGAGGGACAGGAGCAGCCCTGACCGAGTGACCCCAGATCCAGCATGTAGAACACTAGTGGAGTGCTTGGCACATTTGGGGTACTGATGAGTCCTGGTATTATTAATTCCAATCACCTGCATCCCAGGCTCGTCCCTCCACCCCCAATATATCGCCTTTCTAAGGACTGAAGACAGCAGCTGGCAGTGGGAGGTGGTTGCTTTAAATACGAGATGCGGAGAACAAAAGGAAACTAGAACAGGGTGGTGGCTGTGGCTGAACTCACCACCCTCTCCCAACCTGGGGGAGGGCAGGGGACACAGGGGTGCAGCTGCTTCCGGCTGTGCAGCCTACACTTAGAGCAGGAGTGGGGGACACTGGCTTGGGCTGGGACCCGCCCCCCACCCCCCCGAAGATGCCCTCTGCCTGATGGTGGGGTCAGTCTCTGGAGAAACAGGAAGTAGATTCAGCGAGATCCTGGACACGCATGCACCCTTCCAGGGTGACACTGAATATTTCCCAGCAGATTCTTGAAGCCCCACAGCCAGCTTCAAAGGCCTGGCAGCGCGCCCATCTCGTGGCTTCCCATGGGGTCTCAGGGTCTCCCTATCCAGTCCTTGTGCTTCACCTGCTCAGGCTGTGGCCAGCACCCCCCCACTCCCATCTCCCATCCCCTGTGAGGCTCATGGCTCTGGAGTCTGCATGGTTCCCTAGTGGGGGCCCAGGGTTTCCTTCTCTGAGCTACCAGGGCAGGGTGGGGTGGGCACTTGGCTGGGCCTAGGGGAGGGGCCTGAGGTGTTGGCCACTGCCCCACACCCCTCCCATGCCAGGGGTATGGTGGGCCTGTGGTTGCTGACTCCTGTAAGGAGACACTGGTGCCGCTGGGTCTGAAGGAGGGATGGGGTCAGGAAGTAGCAGAGCCAGAGATGGACCATGGTGTCGGCAGGCGTGGGGACTTGGGCCGGATCAGCACCAAGGCTGAGACCCAAGGAGACCTTCTGCGCAGACCAAGTAGGGGCTCGGGCTGCCGGGGCTGCTTCCTAGCCGGACGCTGGGCCTGATGCCCTGCCCGCTTCAGCCTTCCCTCCCTCGCACCCCCGAGATCTGCCGACCCCCCCACCTCGTGGCTCAAGCTCCACTCTGCCCCTGCTCCTCCCGCAAGCAGTGGGCACTTCCTTCCCTCCGCCTGCCTGCTCACCCTCTCCTGGGAGATGCCCAGGCCTGGCTCAATGCCACCTCCTCTGTGCAGCTGTCCCCAGCCCCCCAGTCATCGAGAACTGCTCCCTTCTCTGAACCCCAGGTTCCTGAACCCCACCTTCTCCCCTCCAGCAGTGACTTCACTATGTGCTTTCTGCTCCCATCTCCATCCCCTTCCTAGACTGTGAGCCACAGGCCACAGGGGTGGTTCCAGCCCATCCAGGAGCCCCCAGAGAAGGCCGAGGGGACTGCACTGGCCTCAGGGCAAAGGGAAGGAGAGCCCTGGGCCTGGAAAAGAAGCCCTGGGAAACAGACCTGCCATGGATCCTGGCTCCAACCTGGCTCACCGGTGACCGTGTCACCTTGCAAGCAGGAGGGGCCCGTGGCGTGACAGCTGTGACTAAAGTGGGAGGGTGCTCGCTGTCAGGCTCTGCTATGCTGCGTGCCTGCCCAAGCCCCATCCTGGTGAGTGCCCGCCGGTTCTGGGGAGCTGACTGCCAGCACCCAACATTCAGAGGCAGGAGAGGGGTGCCCAGTGGCAACAGAGCACAGGCTGGTGGGGTGCTCGCGGCTCAGGGAACCCTTGGGAGGCAGGTGCTTTCTGCCCCCACTATACAGACAAGGTGGTTGAGGCAGCGTAGTTCTGAGGAGCAAGGAACCCCAAGCCAGATCTGTGGATCTTGGGGCCACACTCCTGGCCACCAGCCTGCTACCCTGGCTGTAGGTGGTGCCTGCCACACTTGCTGGCTCCCACGTGCCGCAGTTAGAGAACAGATGCCAGCAGGTGGCGCATCGGCCGCAGCTATTCTGGGCCCAGTGCCCCCTCTTCACCTCCCATGCCACCCCCACCCCACACTCCTTTCCCATCTGCACGGCTGCCCATCCCCCTGGCAGCACCCGGTGTGGCACAGTGTGCCGCAGATAGGCAGAGCAGGTGTGGGCTCAGGGAGATGCCCCCACTAAGACCCGGGGCCAGGTCAGGCCTCAAGCCACCTGGCTATGTTCGGCCTTGGTGGTGACAGTTGATGTTCCTCACAACGCCGAGCAGCAGCTCTGAGTCTCGCCACTCCTGGGGGGCAGCTGGGCCGGGCCTTTGGGTTCCCAGGCCCGAGTCCTAGGTGTGCCATCTAAAGTGCACTGTGGGCAGGGGAGGGTGGTTGGCCCCAGCTCAGCCCATGCCCTGGGTGCCCTGGTCTGAGACTGGGACCGAGGCCAAGCCAGAGGGGCTCCATGTCCCAAAACGTGCCCACCCCACACCTTTCTCGCCCGTGTTACTCCACTCTCCCAGGACTTGAGCTGCTCCCTACACTGGCAGAATCTCAGCTGCCTTCACACACAGCCTCCACCCCACTCCGAGACTGCGCCGGGGGCCCCTCCTTCCTCCTCCCCGAAGGCCCTGTCCTACCTTTTGTCAAATCGCTTTTCACACCTGACTGAGCCCAAGCATTGCTCCACAGCAGACTGCACTCATGGGGGCAAGTCCTATGGCTTTCCACCAGCTCCTAGGGCCTGGCATGTTCAATAAACACCTGCTGAACCCAGCTACGTTGTGTGGGCATGAAAGCAGCTTTCCAGGGGTTTGGTCCGCCCTGACCCCGGGGGTACCAGTGAGGGGGTTTCTAGCAGCCTCACAGTCCTTTAGCCAGAAACATCTTCCCCCAGTCTCAAGAGGTAGGAGATCGAGCTTAGTTTTTGGTCATTTTAATTGTAAAAACCAAGATGTTTATATAAATAAGACCGCTGTGTAAAATAGGATTCATCCTTCTACTAAAACCCTTCTTCCCACACTCAAAAAGAATCTAGAAAACCCAGCAGAGATACGAAGTACAAATCAGCATGCGGTCCCTGATGATAAGTCACTGGCAGGCCAGGTTCCCTGCTGAAGCGGCCCGCGGCGAGAGCCCTCCTGGCCAGCGTCTCACCGGAGCTCAGTGACACCTCGAGAACTTGAGCTGGGGGCGTGCAAGCACCCCAGCCCCTGACTCTCAACTGTGTGTGCGCTTGGTCTAGGTCGGTTGAGGCGGTACAGAAAGTTCATGCGCCTGGGGCTGGGAAGGGAGGAGAGGGCGGGAGGCTGCGTGGTCCTCCTGCCAAACCTGGGCTGTGGAGCCACTGGTACCGTGGTGAGACACAGTGTCTGCGCAGCCCGGGATCAAGCTGGGGAAAGGGCTTTGGGGGTGCTCACTGTGTCCCCAGGGGACAAGGACAGAAGCTGCCCGTGTCCCTTGAGAGGAGAGGCTCCTTCTTGGGGCCACTTCCATATGGCCACGAATGACAAGGACAGTGGCACTCCTCAGCAGTACAGGGGACAGAAGGGTAGCGGGGCTCCGGGGTGCTGAAGGACATCTGCCCTGGAGAACGGTGGGGCTGGCATGTCCTTTTGGGAAAGCTCCACCCCTTCACCCTGTCACAGGTCCGCACTCTGCCCCTACAGAGATGCTGCCTCTGCCCTGTCCACTGCTTGGGACTCAGAGGGAGGCGGCCGGGAGCCTGGGGGTAGAGATCTCAACAGATTCACACACTGGGCATGGCTCAGGAAACGGGCACACAAGGATGAAAGAAAAGACCCCAAACTCTCCTTGGAAAGGCCAGGACCTGCCTGAGGTTGCTCCCCATCCTGGAGGAGAGGCAGGAACAGGCCCTGCGGGGGACGGAGGGTCAGGAGCACTTCCAGACACACACGGCCAGGGTGCCCCCGAAGTACAGGTACAGGAGGTTCTTCACCTCATGAGTGATCTCAAACCCAAAGCCTTCACCGATCACCACGTGCCACGAGGAGCCGAACTTCTTGTCCATTGTCTCCTTGATCATCTTGGCTGCACTCTGCAAGGGAGAAGCCGCTGGTCAGAGGGCCATGCGTTAGCTCCCTCTCAGGGAAGGAGAAGCCCAGCACAGCTGGCTGCTCTTGGCAAGAGAGAGGCCTGCTGTCCTGTTCCTGTTGCTCTGCTCGCTCGGAGCCTTCCGAGAGGGTTTCCATGTGGCCACCTCCTGCCAGGCTATTGCACACCTCACCTGGCAGCAGGGAACTGGGGGAGTGGGCACCAGGCTGGCTGTCCTCAGGGCCACAGGAAGTGGCGGGTGTGAGACATGACAGCACTCTTTGGAGCGCGGGTGCCACTGTCCTGGCAAGGTGCCAGGTAAAAGGCTCTTGCCCCATGGGTTTAGGGGTTCCAGAGACAAGCGGACTGCTTGTCCCAGGTGTGGTGACAGCCCACTGCCTCCCATGCTGGCTTCCTCCAGAAGCTCCAGTGTGAAGAGGAGGCCTGGGGAGGGTAAAGGCTCAGGCTCCCGATGTGCACTCACCCCTGTGCCAGGTGCCACATAGAACACTGTCTCCCTTGTCTCAGTAAGTAAACCCTCGAGACTGGGCCAGCAAGGTGGTGGTGTCATCGTCCCCAGGGCACAGAGCAGGACCTGGGCTTGAGATGAGAAATGGCCCAGGCAGGGAGGCTGGAGCGGGGTATGAACTTGGGCCTGGCTGGCCCAAAGCCTGGGCTCTCACTGGCCAGGGCTGCCCGGTCCTTGCCTTCTTTCTCAGGGCCACCAGACTGATGGATGACATTGCTGGGTCGAGGCCTACAGCCGTGTCTCCAGCCCCCAGCAGCACCTGGCACGGTGCTTTCTGGATGGACGGATGGATGAGCGAATGAATGCCTGGGTGGATGGAGCCCGGGAAGGAGCCCTAGTGGGAGGCCCACCTGGGGCACTGGGCAGGGCGGTGCAGAGACCCCGCTGGCCTCCTCCCTTTCAGCACCACCAGCCTCCCCAGCCTGTGACACTTCCAGGATGGCTCTGGCCTCGTCCCAGCGGGGCGCTGGCTACAGGGGTCTGGGGCCACTCTGTTCACCCCCAGGGTCCCCAGGCCCGAGGGCCACCTGCCCTGATGAGTACCTCATTGTTGTTGGAGAATTTCTCACAGGCTGTGACACACAGCTCCATGGTTTCCACTCGCATCTCCTCTGGCATGTCCGAGTGCTAGAGATAGGGTGGGGTGACAAACAGAGGGAGGCTTAGCCCATGACCTGGCCTTTCTGGCTGGCCTTGAGGTCCCGTGCTTAAGGCCTGGACACCAGGTAGCTCCCCTGGCTCAGCCCTGGTGGGTGACTCGTCTCACTGAGGATGAAGGAGCCACATGGGCTGGCAACCAGGATCCTCTGCAAGGGACCGTGCTCCAGGCAGTGGACACAAAGGAAAGGTGGCTGGAGGCAGGGCAGGTGGCTGTGGGAATGGCCAGGAGAGACACGGGCCACTTTCGAGACTCCTGGTTTCCTCCTGTCTCACCAGCTGCTCCTTTCCAACCAGCTGGATTCTCTTCCTCCTCCCAGGCCCCTTCTCTAACCTCTTCCTTCCCCAGCCATGGTCCTCTCGGGATTTTGTCCCTTTCCACACACTAGGTCTTCTCCACAGGACAAGAGGGTTCCTACATTTTCATTGGCTCTGAACTTTTCCTTGGGCTCTGGTCTCTCACGTCCAACTTCTGACTTGACAATCTCACTTAGATGTCTAAAAAACAATGTGATTTTCCCCTAAACCCACTCTTCCTAGAAAAAGGGTAACTAAAACCCTGTTCCTTCCCATCATTTAGGAAAGAATAAACTCCAGGCCCATCCACAATGAGCCCACTGCCTCTGCCTTCCAGGTGGGTCCTGACTCTGGCCACACCGCACATGTACTCCAGGTCCTGCCTGGCCACTGCGTCTCCCTGGCACTCTGAAGAAGTGTCTCTGTGTTTCCCCACTGCCACTCCAGTACCCAGGTCCATTCACCTCCCAGCATCCCTCTATCTATGCCCCTCCACTGCTGCCCTCTGACCTCAGGCGGGGTCCTCGTGTGGCCACCGCGGGGCCTGGAGTCTGGCCCTGCCAGCACTCCACGCCAGCCATGCTGGCCTGCTCTCTAGCCCTTCACAGTGCCAAGCTCACCCTGCCTTGGCTTTCTGTACCTGCTGTTCCCCTGAGAATGCCATTCCCCAGCCTTTGCCAGTCTGCCCCACAACCAGATTCAAGTCTCTGATCCGAGTGGCCTCTCTGGAAGGCAGCACTGCTCTCATGCCCCATACACCTGCTCTAGTTTTCTTTGTAGCAAGTATAGTCTGCAATTGTGTCCTTTAAACACCCTCTCATGTGGGTCAGGGCATCATCCGCCTTGTTTACCACTCTCTCCACAGGGTCTAGGACTATGCACAGAGCAGGGGGCCAAAATACATACATGGTGGATGAATGAATGGATGAGAGAATGAATCACTGTCGCCTCCTTGATGTTCAGATCTGAGTCAGCAGAGCCCTCCTTCCCTTTCCCCACTGCCACCCTGCAGGGATGCGCTCCACTCACCTCTCCAGGGTGTGTGGTCCCCGCTGGCCGCCTGCCTCCTCCCCCAGACTTACCCTGACCAGTGGGAAGGTCTGCAGGCGCTTATAGTCAGCCTCATCTTTCTTCCCTTCTGTTTCTCCCATGATCCTTCCACCGTGACCCCGAGAGGAGAGGGAGGGCTCTCAGGAGGTGCTGGGACTGGCAAGGACGCCCGGGAGAGTCAGGAAGTGGGCCCTGCCAACTTGGTGGGAGCAGAAAATGTCTCTCCCCAAGGGGTGCTGTAGAAAACAGGAAAACCGGGAGAAAAAGATTTGGCTTTCAAACCACACATCACAAATTAGAAATGTCTCAGTAACGATTTGACACCTCCCTGTCTTAACTCCTCCACATCCCTTCCCAAATGGCCAGCGAGTCTGCAGACGGAGTGAGTCAACATGCGATGCTATAAGAACACACTGTCATTGTCAAGGCAGATGCCAACTGTGTTCCAGGCCCGGGATGGAGCTACGAGCTAGCAATTCACAAATGGCCATGACAGGCTGGCCATATTGCCCACGGCATGATTAGGAAGTTAAATGCTCAGGTGACCAGTGACAATCTGAGCTTATTGCCAGGTGAGAGACCACCTCGCCAGGACCCTGATGTGCTGGGGAATGGGAAGGGCGTGGTGCAGTGCCCTCCTTGGCACACCAGGCTCCCTGGGTGTCCCCTCTCAGGCCACCAGGCCTGGCTGGCTGGCTCAGGACGAAGGTAGACTGGGCGCTGGTGCTGGTTCAGTGCTAATCAGCAGTATGGCCTGAGGCCTAGGATCCTCATCAGTGACAGGGCTGTTATGACAATGCAGGGAGCAAGGCACAGAAGGCAACAAGCACAGTGCCAGGCACTGGGTATTTTACCTGACAAGCACCTGTGCCCTCCCTCTGGTTCCCAGGGAATCAAAGGAGAGACAGTGTGTGGGTCCGACAGGAAAGTGCTAACACCTTATATATAAAACTAAAAAAAGACAACTTTATATGTACATGCGCCTCCCCCGTCAGATCTGGGCATCTGATAACGGGGCTTTTCCTAAAGAGGTAGGCCTGGGTCCTAAGTGACAAGAGCACTGCCGAAGTCTGGGTGTCTCTTTCTCTTTCTTGTCATCTTTCTTTTTTTTCCCCCCACCCCGTTTTTGCAGGGGATCAAACCCAGAGGTCCTCTTACCACTAAGCTACATCCCCAGCCCTTCCTCTTTTTTTACTTTGAGACAGTCTTGCTAAGGTGCCCAGGCAAGACTCGAACTTGTGAGCCTCCTGTCTCAGCTTCTCTCAGTGCTGGCATTCCAAGTGTGAGCCACCATGCTGGGCCTGGATGTCTTTCTGTCATCCTACAGTTCAATATATCCTATAATTCAAAGGGCTTTTTATCCTAGAAAAAGTACTGACATACATGTATACAAATCACTGCATTGGCAATTTTTTTTTTTCTTCTTCTTCTTCTTTTTTTTTTTTTTGGTACCAGGGATTGAACTCGGGAACTTGCACTTGTGAGGCAGAGGTAATTTTTTTTAACAATCTATATTGGACAGATACAGTTAAATAATGTTATCCCAGCATTTCTCACCTCAAGTGAGAAACTGACCTCAAGTCAATTTGCTTTCATGGCACGGAACTCCAAGATGCCAAGTAGTAACAACAGTATGTACCCTCCACACATACATGTATGTAATATATATATATCTATTCTTTACACATTTTTTAAGAGATGGGTTCTTACTATGTTGCCAGGGCTGTCCCCAGACTCCTGGGTGCAAAGGATCCTCCTGCCTCCCCTCCCAAGGAGCTGGGACTATAGGTAGTTAAGGACAGGTGACGCGCCTTGGGTTTGGTGTGTGCCAACTGCTGTTCCAGCACTTGACATGCATTTGTGCAGCTCTTCATCGACCTGACCCTGGAAATGGGGGCCCATGTGAATGGAGGCACAGGGCTGCTGTCGCTGGCCCGAGGTCCCTCAGCTAGGGAGCAGCAGGGCTGCCGTGGCCCCACGCTCCTCGCTTCAAAGACACAGTGCACCCTCCACACATGCGTGGACCCGACCACTGCTGTGCCCCAGATGATCCCGATGGTGAATGTTTGATTGTCCCTTTTTTTTCAGTGTCTGCTTTCTACTGTGACCATGGCCTTGGTTTGGCCAAGGCTGGGCCCTATGCACTCCTGGATCTCAACTGTCTCCCTCTCTCTGATGCTTCTGGAGCCACCTGGGTCACCCCATTCGGCCAGCTCCCTTGAGTGAGGCTGCCAGCCTGGCACTGACTCCACCACACATTGGTATTTTGTGAATTCCCAGAGGACAGATGGTTCCTCTTATCTAATAATTCTGGGCATTTGTACCACTTAGATATTAGCAGTTTTTGTTTGTCTCTACATATGAGCTGGCAGATTACCAAGCACAATCTCATTGTACTTTCTGGTCAGATTTCTTATTTCACAAAACGCAGCGAATCGTTTGTCTGTGCTCATGAATGCTAAGGCTAGGCTTCCATTCCGCCATCTCCCAACTTTGGTACTGGCCTCTGTACCGCTTTCTCCTCCACCTCCAAGGCACGAGAGCAGCTGGTGGCTATGCTGATGATAACAGGGTACTAGGGCCTTATGCTTTGTTCACCTCTGAGAGTTTCAAGTGGGAACAACTTAAGATGTGGAAGTGGCTGCTTAGCTAACTTCTACCTAAATATTCCAACTCGCTCTCAGAGCTAAAATGCGCTGGCAGGCAAGAGGCAGGAAGAGAAGTCAATTGTGCAATGCTGTCCTCAAGCTGGCCAGGGGCTGTGGCAGCTGCCTTCACACTAGAGAATCCTGCTGGGTAATCAGAAGACTTCAGAGGGGCTCCTAAAGCCCATCCTTCTTGGAACAAAGGAGGGGACACCCTTGGGACAGTTATAGGGGAGCACCACGTAGAGAACAGCATGGGACAGGGCCTCAAATATCTGGGTCTGAATGCCAGTTCTGAAAAGGAGTTGAGTTCTGCCCATTTCCTTGCTTTGTAGCCTGGGACAGGTAATTTAGGCCAGGCCTTGCTCTTTTAGCCTAGGCCCCCTCAGCCCCATGTGTCTGCACCGAGAATTCTGAAATGTTAAAGCTCTCTACCGGAGCACCACTGCCTGCTCCTACTTCTGCCAACATACTGGCCAGGACTCGGTCAACGTTACTCAACCACGTGCTTATTAAGGACCACGACTTATTTATTAATAGCTTTTCCTAACCACAACATATGCTTCCAGGGATCCAAAAGGGATGAGACTTACAGAATAAAAAGGAATAGTTAGAGATGCTTCCAATTCCAGAAAGGTAGGGGAATTTTTTATGATGCTGCATCATTTCAGTACAGTACAGTCATTTGGCCATGATTAGAAAATGCTGCTGAAAGAATGCTACCAAAAATAGCAGAGCTAGGAGGTTTAATAACCTTATCAATCTCCCATGTGAATGAGCATGTGCCTGAAAGAAGCTGTGTCAGGTTGGAAAGAACCTTCTAATAATATAAATGTGGCCAGCCAGGGTATTTGAATCTGTCAGGTTCCAGAGCTTGAGCCCATGGCATCTGGCCCTTGGTGGCACCCGGCCTGGCCCAGCCTCGCTCGCTCCTGTCACCCTGAATTCTCCCCCTCCAAGGCCCCTCTGTGTGCTTCAGTGGCAGCCAGGTGCATGGACAGGGGTCTATCTCATCGCCTTGTCAAAGCCAGGGTCCCTGTCTTGCTGTGTCTATTCTTCTGTGGTGCTGACTTCAGTTACCACTTGCTATTGTGCTCCAGAAGCAGCTGAGAATCCGCCAGAGGGCTTGGGATGTGGGTGGGATGAGACCAAGCCAAAAGGATCTGCCATCCCTGATACCCAGAGCCTGGAACACTCCTGGTTCTTAGGTTACGGTTCCCTGGGCATCTGAGTGGTGGCAGGACACAGCAGAGTGTGTCGTGCGGGTTCTAGGTGCGGGCTCCAGACATGTCTGCAAACACAGCTCAGGTCTGTTTCAGACACATGCTCACTTCTCAGCCTGGGAAACTGGGAACAGGAAGGGGCTCTACCTGATGGTATCAGCTCTTGGCACTGGGCAGCAGGGAGCGGGACTTCCGTATCCTTCTTCACAGACGAGCCCAACAAACCAACATTTCCTGAGTCCCACTACAGCCAACCACCGCCAACTACCGTGTTAATTTGGGAGGAGGACAGTCACAAGGAACCTTGGCAAAGCCTCGCCTGGGCCAGGCAAGGGTGGCAGTGGTGATGTTGTGCTTTCACATTCAGGGTCTCATTTCAACCTCAGAGGGAAGGATCAGCTCCCAGCTCTCAGACTGGGTACCTGAGCTCAGAGAGGTTTTGGGGCTGGCTCAAGAGTGCACAGCAAGCAGTGGCAGAGCCAGGACTGGGGCCCAGATCTGTTCTTCTAACTTTACCTTCGGTGCTTTCTCCCGTGGAAGAAGGGAGAACCTCAAATCACTCCTGCCAGCATCTACCCATCAGCCATCCATCCAGGCCCACCTCCTGCTTCCACCAGGGAAGTGTGTCAGGGACACACACTTGTGCACCTTGGTCATCGCTGCTTTTCCAGACACATCTACCCTGTGCCTTCTACAAAACAGCTGGAAAGGTGAGGGGAAAGGAGCCCAAGGACTTTGGGACATTCATCAAGATGTCAGTAGGTCAAGTCCAGAGATGATGTGGAAGACGGGGTTTCCTAGGTCAGGTTAGAGGGGGAGCAAACATGGGGTGGCCATGCTTCAGTCTCACTAAATATGAGCATTAGGAGCAATCATCTACTACCAAAGAGGAAAATGTAAAAGTAACAAGGAGAGCATTGCCGAATGAAGGCCGGTCATTCTCAAGACAGTTACCGTCGCCATGCATACACACAAAGGTTGCTTTGTTCTATTTTGCTTTTTTAACATAGTCCTTATTGTTTGTCATTTTACTGAGGTCCAGCAAAAAAACCTGACATGCCTCAGTCTGTGGGGAGGAAGGACAAAGAAAAGAATGGAAGGAAGGGGGAAAGTGAGGTAGGAGAAGGAAGAGACATCTGTTGATTTGTCTAGATCGGCAATTTCAACATTTTCTTTGTTCAATGCCACATGACAAACACTGACTCACGTGGTACACCCTCATGAACATATCAAGTTTGGATGAAATCCCAAACCCTTTTGTCAAGATACAAGCTTGACAGAAAGTCATAGCTATGGCAGCCGTCAGCTCTGCTCAAGCAGCTGCTTACACAGAGCGTGGGTTACACAGCCTCCACCTGCCTCTTTCCCACTCAACAGAGTAGACTTGGATGAAAGGGACCAAGGATGACATCAGCACAGAAATAAACTGGACTTAGCACTGATTTATTTCTTAATGACTCATTCACGATTGCTAACTGCCGGTGACATCTCACCACTGATCAGGACTGCATCGTGAGTCGTGAGTCAAGGCAATTCCCTGGGGCTGAGGGACTTCATCTTGTCTCCTCTAGATGGCCCAGGGCACAAAGTAGAGGGTCTGGCACATGGCAGAAGGAGAGAAACAAAACAAAACAAAAAAATTCCAAACTGTAACTAAATTATATTTTATTTTATTTGTCCCCTGGGAAGGGAGAGAACCTAGTAAAGCTATCTAATAATACTTACTGAGCACTGAGCTTGAGCCAGGCAGCAGGTGGGGTGTTTTACACATGGGGACTTGCTTAATGTCCCCAATGACGGTCAGATAGGCACTACTATCCTTATGATACCTATGTGCACACAGGGTGAGAAAAGGAAAGTGACTTTCCATTCTCCAGATAAACAAGCTCTGATAAAGAGCTAGGGACAATTCAATCCCAGGTATCTATGACTTCAAAGATGATGCTTTTCAACTACTCCATGCTAAGAGCCAGATCCTGTCCTAAGGAGCTTACAATTGAAATGGAGACCAACACAATGACACAAGAGCTGCGCTGCTTGGCATAAAATGGGAAGTATCAGTTGTAGAGATAAGGGAAGAGAATTCTGGAAGGGGAGGGTGGAAAGAACATCATGAGAAACTGGGTGGCAGGGGCAGCATGGAATTTAGGCCTTGTAAGATGAGCGGGAATCCTGGCAGGTGGGCAGGTGAGACAACATTCCAGACAGGAACAAGTACAATGCTCCCAAGGCAGAAAGCTCAAGGCATCTTCTTGGAAGTTCCAACAATCCAATTTGGCTGGAGGTTAGAATTTGGCCAAGAAAGGACAAAGAAAGCTGGGTAAAAGGCTGGGGCTGGGTTGTGGAAGTGCAGAAGGACTCTAAAACCCAGGCTTAAGAAGGGTGGATTGTTTTTTGTGGGGAATGGGAAGCCTTTGGAGCTTTCTTGGTGGCGCAGTTGTATATTCTGGGTTGATAGAAGAGTCAAGATAGGAACAGCAATTAGGAAGCTAGAGTAATGGTCAGGTGACAAGCATTGAATACTTGAACCAAGGTGATGCCCTTAGGAAGAAGAGGAAGTAGGATCCTCATGGAGGAAGAAACAAAATAACTTGAATATTTCCCAGGAGGGAATGGGCACAACAGAGTGAAGGACGATGTCTCAGGGGGATGGTGATGCCATGACAGAGGCATGGGAACCCAGGTAGAATAGATGGGTAGGTAGAGAAACAGGCCAGTTTGACTTTAGAACCACTGAGTTTAAGTTGCTGGCAAGATGTGCAAATGGAGGTATTTAGTCAGGAGTAGGAAATAACTGATCATGGATGACAGAGGCAGGAGGAAAGCCATTAGGTCCAAAGGTAACTCTATCGGTCACTTCTGGCCTCCTCGTCCCCACCCTGAGTGTCTCTAGCCACAAAGGTGAAAGATCAAAGCTGGAGATATGGATCTGAGGGTCAATAGGAGAAATGTCAGCTGAGGCTAAGGTGGGGGGAGGGCAGTTAATACTTCCCAGAGGGGGATATTGTGGAGAAGAAGAGACAGAGAAAGGAAAGTAACAAATATTGACTCCACACTGGCCTAGACTCTACTTTAATTCATACTATCCCCAGAATTCCCAAAGGAAATGCACTGTGGTATACTGGCTTTATTTATGCACAGACCAGTCAGTGTCCAGGGAGGTTAGGTAACTTGTGAAAGTCTGTAAATGGAAATCCAAATTAGAGTTGCCAAGTTTTTTGCATTGCACAAGATTCCTACCACGGAGTGCACATCCTCCGGGAAGTCTATGGTTGGGTCAAATAACATCCTAGAACGTCAGAGTCAAAGAGGCCTTAGAGATCATTCAGCTCAACTTCTTTACAGATGGGGACACTGAAGCCCCAAAAGGGAAATGATCAGTCCAGTGTCCCAGTAGTCGGCAACTCTCTAAGCCAAGTGGTCTGGGCGAAGGAGAAGGCGACCACTAGCCAAATCACGGGAGGGGAGCTTACTACGCGAAGGTGGGAGTGTTGGGTGCTGGGGGGTGTCGGATTAGGGAAGATGCGGGAGCACAAAGCTGGACAGGGCCTTGCCGGGGGGAGAGGAGGAGCGGCCTGCAGATCGCAAGGACGAATCTGTCGTGACTGAGCTCGCAGGTCCCCAAGTAGGGTTGGTGGGGGTGGTCCTGGGACGGGAACAGCAGGCTGGAGACTGAGGTGGGGCCTCGGTGGTGGGCGAGGCCTTGTCCGCCCCGCGTTGCCTCCCGCCCTCCCTCCAGACCACCCCTTCCCTCCTGGCTGCCCGCCGCGCCCCGGGGCCTCACCTGCTCCCGCGGGGGCCGGAGCCAGGGCCGCAGCCAGTACACCCCCGCCAGTGTTGTCAAGGAGCGAACAAGAGTGTCTTAGCAACCAGCAAGGAAGTCCTGCCCCTCACCGGACGTTGACAAGAATTTTACTTATTATTGGTGAATAAAGGTGTCAATCAGTGTCCAAAGGACCTACGATGTAGGGGTTTGCACTGAAAGGGGCGCGGCTTATAGGCTAGGGAGGCGGGGCTTCGCTTATAGTCGTCTTAAGTGTGCCCGAGGAGTCGCGAACAGACTGAAGTTCTTTTTTGAGAGAAACAAACTTCGAGAAGTAATGTTGCCTTGGAGTTTTTCGTCATTTGAAATAACAGATGCAATTTGTTGGTTTCGTGATGCCGAGCTGCTACTTTATTAGGACCTCAAAAACCTAATAACTAGCACTTATGTAGGGCTTTACAATTAAATTAATTGCTCACTTGATTTTCATCACAACACTTTTTTCCCCCCTGTACCGGGGATCGAACTCAGGACCTTGCGTTTACGAGAGACAGGCGGGGTGCCACTGAGGTAAATCCCCAGCCCAATACTTTTCAGATTAGTAGTATCTGCAGTCCTATCTGAACTAAAGTGCAGAGAGATTAAGCAAATAAAGGAAGAATCAAGATAATGTCCCTGGAGAAGGAACCCCGTGGTCTTTCTTTCCACTACTCCATATCCTCCAAGGTCACCTAATCGCTAGGAGACACCTGTGCCATCTAACTTAAAGATACTGTTGTCCATAGGCTGCCTTTGGTTCCTCTCTGGAGAAAAATTACCTAAAGGTATTAGTGCAGCTGGAGAGGAGGAGAAGGGGAAGAGCTAGCAGCTTCCATTGGGTGGATCAAAGGGTCAATGGGATACTCCACAATGAAAACCTTTATATTTACTTGGGGTGTATTATGGTTTGTCTCTAGATGTATCCCCAAAGCCTCATTCAGTCATAGGTGGGGCTTCTTCAGAGGTGACTGAATCTAGAGTGTGTGATTGATTCATGGTGCAATGTTAGGATTAAGGGTGGGTGATTACTAAATCAGTCCACTGATTGGTTTGGCACCACCCTAATCCTAGTAGTCTAGATACAATGTAAGGGACAGAAAGAGGCTTGTCTTGTCCCTTACTTCCTTTGCTACCTTCTGCCTCCCATGGACTGTTTCTCCTTTGTGATGTTTGCCTGCTATGCCACCCTGCCTTGGAGCCAGCTGACTATGGACTGAAACCTCTCCAAACTGTGAACCAAATAAACCTTTCCTCCCTTAACTTTGGGCGTGTAATATTTTGTCTCAGCAACGAGAAAAGTAACTAAGACAGGGTGAAACCCCACTGCTGCATTTACAGGGAGCTCTGGCTGGGTGCTTGTGATGGCAGAAGGAAGTAAGGGAGTGGCCTGAAGGGTTGTGAATGTCAGGTTCAGGGCCTTGGTGCTTCCCCGTGTAAGGCAAGAATGAGGGAGAGTAGCTGCTGGGAGGGTTTCTAGAAGGGCAGTAATGGGCAGATTTGTCATAGGGAAAGATCACTCTGTTAGTGATGACAGTGGACAGGATTTGGAGTAGGCAGGAGGCAGGCACAGTAGGTTTTTGTTTTGAGACTTGGCAGCGCTAAGTGTGTTAGGCCTTTGCTGATTCTCAGCTTGCCTCCCTGGCACGTTCTGAGGGCCTCCAGATTTCCTTAATCCCCCTTGCCAATTTTCTCCAGAAGGTGAGGGTGGCCTTTGAGGTGGATGACGCGCTCACTTCCGCCTCTCACCCAAACTTCTCCCAGTAGGGGTCCACACTTGCTGTCTTCTTTTGCTCGCCTCCCTTTCACTTCTTTGCAGCCCACTGCAATCTGGCTTCCGCTCCCACAACACCACCAAAATACCCTCTTTCCTGGTTACTGGTGGCCTCCTGAGGAGCGAAATTTGATAGACCCTTTTGGTCTCTTTTACTGCATGCATGTTAGGCAAACACTGTACCACTGAGAGACCTCAACCCCGTCATTTCAGTCTTTATCTTAAGGGATCTGTCTCCTCTGCTAGGAGCCTGCTGACCACACCCATCTTACCAAGTTCTGTACCCCAGAGGCAGCATCTGGAGAGCGCTTTACTTTGCAGGTTCCAGGGCCCCACCACATCAGAATGGTGAGGGGCAGGAATGTGATTTTTCACCCCCCCCCCGTGCATTCTCAATCCTAATATCAGGGTACCTCTCTCTCCTGTTTCCTCTTCATTTTTGGCCTTCTTCTTGATCTCTTTCCTTTGCTCTCTGTGTCTAACTTGACCTTCTTTTCTTCTAACTATGATTTCGAATTTCTTGCTAACCTAAGTGACCTCCTCATCAGTAGCAGTTTTCCTTGATCATATTCCCTAGGGTACTTACTAGAATTGTAGGAATCATGTGTGCTCTGGAAAGCCCCTCTGATGTTGCCGAATATTCCCAGGGGGTAATGCCACCATGTGTGTCTTGTTGCGAATTGCTGCCTCGAGGACTGTCCTTGGGGATCTATTCCCATGGTTTCCATTGTCAATGTCTTTCCGAATTCTGACTGCTCCTGTATTTCTCTCTCCGGACTCAATGTCCAAGTGCCTCCTGGACATCACCACCAGGATGCCCTGCAAGCCCTTCAAACTCAGTGTGCTCCAAACTGAATCGTCATCTCCCTCCAGCCTGCTCTCCTCACATTCCGCGTCTCCAATATTGCCATCACTGGCCACCCATTTGTCTCTACCAGAAACCAGGGAGTAGCCCTTTGCCCTTTTCCGCCAATCAATTGAAAGCCTGCCAATTCTGACTCCTAACTGTCTCCCCATACAGCTCCTCCTGGCCATATGAACACCATATGTCTCCCCATACAGCTCCTCCTCCCCATATGAACACCAGCAGTATCTTTCTGTGTCACCCCAACAACCCCCTGATGGAACCCCCATGCCGGCCTGCTGTTCTGTAATCCATCCTCCATCATAGTCAGTGTGATCCTTCTAAAGCCCAAATCTCCCTATTGCATTCCCCTCCCTCCACAGTTCCCTGTCACCTGCCTGGTGACTTCCATGTGCCATAATGTGACATTCAAAGTTCTCTGTGTGCCTGTGGGCTCCTTGATGTTCCATCCCCTCTACACCAAGCTTCCTGGCTCCCTGACGCACTAGGCTGTTTTTCCTCTCCCTGCTTCTGCTCACCTGTCCTCTGTGTTCACAATCTTCTTGCTCGTTCTTTCTTCCTCTTGGTTATCTGAGTCCATAAGCTTTTGGCCTAAGCTTGCACACACTGAGCTCCCATCACAGGCCACTGAAAGTGTGCTTTGGGTTCCCATCTCACCTGGTACATGTTGCTATCACTACGCATCTCCTCTGTTTCCTCTGGCTTAATTCTGTCTCCTCCAGTGAGTTCCTTGAGGGCAAGGACCTTGTCCTACTTGTCTTTACATCCCTCGTCTCCCACGTGACCATACGAGAGCAGAAGCTCAGAGGTCCCTGTATGCTTGGTACAGATGCCCCAGTGGTGGGGAGTGTGGCTCAGTTCACAAGCTTGCAGCCTTCCCCATGGCAGAGCTGGCTTTGGGTTACTTATGGCAAAGTCTCTGTCACGTGTCCCTGGGGCTCATTCTTGGGGCCCCTCACCCTGCTCAGTCCCCCTGGTACTCTGCTCCATGGCTCCCAGAACTTCCCTTTGCCTTTTTCTTCTATCATCTTCATGGAAATTTAACCACTCTGAGTTCAACTTTATTGGTTTTCTCTATACAGCTTTGTTCTCTATATTATTTCTTTCTGCTTGATTTGCTCTTCCTTTTCTAACTCCTTGGGATGGAGATTTAATTGATCATCAGCCTTCCCTCTTTTCTTGGTACAGCAAAGCGTTACAGCCAAACGTTACAGCTATCTGAAGGTCTCTGGAGGCAAAGAATGCAAGCGGCACTCATAGATGATGGAATTCTTTATTACACCAGTGGACTCAGAGGAGTTTGTACTCTGAAGTCTGGGCCCCAAGCAGAAATGGAAGCAGTCTTATATAGAGATCTATGGGGTATGAGGGGACACCTACGGGGCAAGCATGCTCACTGAGGCCAATGGGCAGAGTTAACAGAACATTATTGAAACCTTAGGTACAAACATCGTGGAGCACAAACAGTTGCATTGCTTTGCAGCACAAGCAGTTACATTGCTTGAACAGAATATCCTATGACAAAAACACGGGGGGTTGGGGAGCTTGGCCTGCCCTGTTGTGCATTATTTCTTTATCATCCTAACATCTACTAAGGCTAAAACTTTCCCTCTCAGCAGAGCTTAAACTGCATCTCACATGTTTTGGTATTCCATGTTTTCATTATCTTTTAGTTCAAATTGTTATGTAATAAAAGATTTCTGGCTTGATCCATGAGTTATTTAGAAGTGTATTGTTTATTTGTAAACATTCAGGTATTATCTAATTTCTTCTTTTGCTACTCATTTCTAGCTTCATATTCAGTATGCTTCCATTCTCTAGAATGGGTTGAGACTTGCTTTTGAACCCAAGTATATGGGTAGTGTATTAGTTTCCTATTGCTGTCATAACAAATTGTGATCAACTTAGTGACTTAGAGCAATACAAATTTACCACTGGATAGTTCTGGAGGTTGGAATTCTAAAATGGGTCTCACTGGGCTGAAATCAGGCTGTCCCCAGGGCTATATTCCTTCCTAAGGCTCCTGGGGAGACTATTTCCTTTCCTTTTCCAGCCACTAGAAGTTTCCAGAATTCCTTGGCTCATGGACCCTGCCATCTTTAAAGCCAGCAATGGATGGTTGGCTTTCATGCTGTCTCCTCTGACACTGCTCTTCTGCCTTCTTTTTCCACATCTAAGCACCTCGAGATCACACTGGAATAATCCAAGGTAATCTTATCTCATGGTCATCTGATTAACAACCTCAATTTCATCTTCAAGCTTATTTCCCTTTGTTGTGTGACATAACATATTTCTGGGTGCCAGGGAGTAGGATGTAGACCACATTACAGGGCAGGGCATTACTTTGATCTACCGTAGTCAGTACGTTTTTGGTTTTTTTTTTTTTGAGGCAGGATCTCCCTTTGTAGTTCAGGCTGGCCCTGAACTCACTATGTAGCCCAGGCTGGCCTCGAAC